TTCTCCATTTCCATTCCATTATGGACTCCAATCCAATCCACTAGTGAACAGGGATTACAGTCTCCATTGGAGTATGTTATGGCAACAATATTCTAATTGTGTGGGAGATTTTTCCCAGGAACATAAAATATTTATTTGTACTTCAAGAAGAAAAATATTTTAATCTGATAAACAAAGTAATTAAGCAAAATATTAGGAGTTTCTAATAGAAAATACCTTTTGATATTTCTGAAGAATGAAATGCTCATTATTTTGTAAAGACAAAATATTTCATGTCTTAAATAAGTGTCTTTGAAGAGAAAAAAATCTGTATCTTTGTAGCAGCCATTGCATCATCTGTTTGAGTCTTTTGTCAGAGTTGTTGCATCCACGGCTGTCACTTGGCATATTGAGATCACTATTTCGTTTTGAAAAGAGTAGGATTATCTGCAAAAAGTTTCTCCTGTTTAAAGCAGAGTTTAAATATTTGGATACTTGTGCTATACCTGCACTTCCACAAAAATATCTCTCTTCAGATATTCACTGACACTGATAGATAGTGCCTTAAGTGTAGTGATTACATACACATCTTTTCTAAACTTATTGCTATTTTCTCAGATGCTGGGATATTAATCAAGATTCTCCATACTGGTGGCTAATCAAAGGACCTATTATAATTTCTGTTGGGGTAGGTACTTCTAGGTTTGCCAACATTACTTAGAAAGAAAAAGACTTCTAAATTAAAATCTGATTATTGTTTGCTGAAATGTTGTTTGAAATAAGGAAGGGGAGTGGTAGAATTTCTACTCTAAACTTGCCTATGTCCAATGTAAACTAAAACGAGACAGAGAACTACCCTCCTTCCCCCAGGCAAGTATCCTTTAAAGAAATGAAAGATTTCATAGAACTGTCAGTTTGGTTTAAATTAATGACAGGTGAGAGGTCACATCCTTACAATATTTGAAAACACAAGTTTTAGCCTAGGAGTACAGAATCATCCATACATTTAAATATAAAATTTCAACGGCAAGAGGTTTCTGTTCATAGATGATACAGATGATAATATCTCTTGAGACTGACATTTATTGAATAAACTGATGAGCTTTAAATGATTATTGTGTATGATTACTCCCACATGTTGTTAAACTCAAGCAATGTTTGAGAAAGCAGCTAATGGATGACCGTAAGACCATCTATTAAAAGCTTAATTCAATTGGAGGACAGATGGATACAAATAAGGCATACATAGGCAAACAATGGGAATGAAGACTCTCAAGTTGAATTCTGGTCCTAGTTTTCCATATTTCAATAAAATATTATATTTCCTTCTACCTCCATTATTTCTCCCCTTATTAGTTCTTGTCTGACATCGACGTTAGAAGTCAAGAGACTCAGGGGATGCAGTGATGATTTTTCTGCTGGAATGTATTTGAGGCATCACTGATGGATAAAATGAGATTGCACTTTCTGGTACAATGTGGAAATTCTTAGGCAAAATTAAGCATTCGGACTTTGTGCAGACACAGAAAAATACATAGGGAGAAACTCTCTGATTGTGGAAAACTGAGCAGCTTCACAGACTTTGGTAAAGCTATGACAAATTGCAGTTGTAGAAAATTTTATCTGCAAATTAGGATTTACACTACCTAGCTTTGGAGCTGAGCTAATGCTCCTCAGTTCTCTTCAGAATCAATAAAGAGAAGTATGCACTTTGGTATGTGATTCATCTGACATAATAGATGTCTACATTGGAGGAGATGACTCGTCCTCAGCTCCACCTGAGGCTCTGTTGGCTACACTGCCTGGATTTCCATTGACTGCTAAGGGAAAACAGGGTGATATCTCAGATGCAGGCATCTCATTGTAGACAGCTATATTAGTCAGATGAATTTTACTAATAATGTCTAAAAATATTAGCCAGAATTTAATGCAATAGCCATATCAAAAGAGAATCAAAATTATATGAGCTACAAAAAATAAAAAGAATCTCACAAGCTATTGAAAAACATAGTTAATTCTCAAGTTTTCATCTTCAGCTATTTCTTTAAGATGGTATGCGACCTATTGAGATGTTTGAATGCTGCCAAAAGTTATTACATTAAAAATCTTACACTGGTCTCATTGAAACTTCACAAATTACATAATACCTTAAGTAAAAATATAGATTTTCATTGTAAAGTTTTACATTAAAAAGTAATCTTTTTTTTTTTTTTTTTTTCTCCCCCCCCAAATATTCTAACAGGTCAATTTTGTCCTATTTATCAACATCATCAGAATTTTGCTGAAAAAACTAGACCCTAGACAAATCAACTTCAATAACTCTTCTCAGTACAGGTAGTATATGGAATAATAATGATTAAAAAAATAAATTATTTTCATAACAAAAACTTCTAAACAGAGAAACACTTGTCCAGTGTAACAGACAGGCTGTTTTTGAAATTCCCAGCCTTATCCCATTCTAAAGGAAACTAATCAAAGGATGAGACTCATCTCACCTAATATTGGCCATGCAAAGATGATGTATTCAGATCAGTTCAGATTTCTACCTTCCAATTACAACCAATGGGGTGACTAGGAAACCATTAATTTAATCCACATTAGATCTCTGATCTAGGGCAGGATAAATTACCTTCTATAAGTACCTTTTCCTGTATGTGGACTATAAAGGGAGCCTGCATATTGCTTTCTCTGTATTTAGTTGCAAATAAATGTCAAATTTTCGATGGCTCCAATGCGGCAAAATACAGTCTACTCCTTTGTGTTTTCTTGAACTGTAATCTCAATCAGAAAGGCAGAATGACAAAACACTGTAAGAAAAAGCCATGAACATGATATTGCCAATAAGGCAATAAACATCAGAAATCTATTTCCAGCTAGTTTCTCATTATGCTTTCTGCCCAGCATTGTAGTCCCAAGAGATATGAACTTCACATGTAGATATTTAGATCTTTGTTTTAAATTTTACTCTTTACTGGGGCATATTGCATTGATTAATCTTTACTCAGGGAAATAATATTACCTTACTTCTTCTCATGTCCTCTGCTAGACGCCTCTCAAGATCAACTTTGCTTCTAATTCCATTATTTGGAACCCATTATATTGTCTTTAATTTTCTTCCGGAATATACCAGTCTGGGAGTTCGGCTTTACTTGGAGCTCTGCATTGGATCTTTTCAGGTAAAATGACCGCAGAGGCTTCAGTTCCTTCTTAGTATATCTTCTAATTTAATCTAGTGGCCATATGACAACTAGCATTGCAGAGAAAATAATTGGATCCTGAAGCTAGTGTCTCCTCACAGAGCTCATGGTTCTTCACTGAATTACAATATCTGAAGATGTAACTTATCCTACCTGGCTGATTTTGCAAATGCAAGGCCAAGTCTTTCAGATGCATGTGTAAATTGGATGGTGCGTCAAAGTCAAACATGAAAAGCTGTAGGTCCAGCCCCCTTGCTGATCCTTTGGCAAAGAATGAATTGATAGGCAACATATAAACACTGAATACTGCCCGGTGCACATATCAACCCCATATAGACCACTGCCCTGAGGAATGCAACATGCATTTCCCTCCTGGGTGGGCAAAATGCTTGCTGTGCTTTGAATGTTCCCAACTGCTCTGAATTGGCACACAGGGCATGGAAAGCTTGAGGAGCTTGGTACCAACTAGAACAACTACTGGGGCTGATCTGACATACCCTCCAGGTGGTTTTGCTACCTGAGTTATGAGCAAAGCAGCACCCAGATGCCCTTTGCTTTCCTCCCTTTCTTTGTGCTGCACTTCAGAGACTACAAGAAGCAGCTGTAGGTAATCATACCAAACTTCACAAGGAAGCATATGTCCCTCTGAATGATGGTAAGACATCATTTGTCAGTGAGCATAGCTAAAAATCCAGCAGTTGTGCCAGTTTAGTCTTCTTAATGATTTTATCCATTGTGTCAGTCCTGTCCAATAAACCCTGCACATCTTAATCCTGACCCTCAGTACTTGTCCTTGAGTTAATTAACAATGTAAGGAATAAATTAACTGAATAAAAGGGTGAGGTGTTTACCTGGTATCTGATCACATAGGTCCTTTTCCTGGGTTTATCTCAGTTCAGAATCCTAACAAAAGCATTCAGCAGGCCACAATTTGATCTCATTCCATGTACTGCAAAGACACAGAAGTTGACTGGAAAGCTGTATGAGCTCTGTGCCTGGATCTCCTTACGAAGTCCGTTTCCTTATCAATTTACACTGTGCAAAGAATTAGCATACAGTGAGCTTGGCTGTAGAATGGACCATGCTTTTGTAAGCAGAATATGAGAGAATATCAGTGGCCATATCACCTGTTGTTGTGAATTCATATCGTGCTAGTGACTTTGGTAAATATCACTAATTTGTTGATTATCTGGCTGATCAGGTTTATTGGAGATACATAAGGAATTTTGTCATTTATAACAGTAGTCCAACTTATAATGATAATCATTAATTCAGATACACAGTACCATCATGAAATCAGATGGTGTAAGTGTCTTTTTCAAACTGTTTCAAACTCTTTAAAAATTATTTTTGGTCTTTTTCAGGGGTTTATTGTAGCAGTTCTCTACTGTTTCCTGAACCAAGAGGTAAGGAAACTATAACCTTTACAATATTGCTTTCACTGGCAGATATATAGAGTTAATAATCACTTTCATACAGATAATTAAATCTTTTAGTTTCTCGGGATTATCTGTTAACATAGGAATCAACGAAGTTGAATTTAATTTCAATTATCTTCATGAGAATGAAGCCATCTAGTGGAGAAACGGACTTCTACTATTTTGCTACTCCATCAAGCATTTTTTATCCTTTCTGCATATTTTTGTACTATAGCAGGGCTTGGGAAGCCCATGCTAGGTCCAGACCTGAAAGTACAAGCTGTTGCAGTGATGCAAAAAGAGTTACTAAAAGTCTGTGATTAAATTAGAAAGAATTTAAATTTATGCTGATCATCCCATACCAAAATATTACTTTCTAGTATTTTTAATATGCTCATGAATCTGCCCAGTATTTCTTCATGTTGATAAATATGTTTTTCCCATTTAGAATATATAAGTCAGAATTTTATTGTTGATGGGACAGAAATCATTCTATTTAGCTTAGCATCAAGGTCTATTTGTATAGTATAGATGTTGTGATAAGAATGTATCTTAAAAGAATTGTATAGGCAACATGTCAATTTATCCTCCACTTTTTAGAATGAGTTGAAACCCTGGAATTTAACTTTTCTTTCTGAGTACAGAGTAGTTGAGACAGCTATTTTAGAGTATGACTGGGGTTTAGTTTCAGACTACACTAACAATCTACTGGTTTCTACCTGCAGCTCTTAAAAAGGTAGAAACTCCTGATTCAGACATACCATCACTAGAGTGTCAAAGGTGTGTTTAGGAGGTGAATTCTAAATCATCACAGTCAGTGTAATATTCAAATGACCAAGTACAGTTGTCTGTGTTAGAGATAGCTGACCCACTGTAGATGATCTGGGTTGCATTGACCAATTCTTCATTTTCTAAGTTTGAAGTCTAAGGCTGACTAAGCTTTCAAACAGTATTTAATTGTCTATGTGTGCCATGGTCCACACTTACTTATTTTTGTCAGAAATTTCTGAAATAATAATAAATATCTTCAAATATATTGACACTTACTATGCTTTTGATTGAGTTTAGGGCTGTTAAGTTTTGAATGTTCTAATGTTGCTTATGTTCAGTTGACACAATGGTTCATATTAATAATCCTAATCTCTTCTGATGGTAGACTATAGCTTTACATTCAGCTTGTCATCCCAGACTTGTATCACTTCAATTTAGAAATTTCCTTCCTACTAGACTACTGGGAAGGCACATTTCTAATAAGAATCAGATGTAAAAGAAGGGTTTAGTGGCCAGTCTGGACCCACTGTATGTTTCTGTGAACATGACAAAGCCTGGCATACACAGTTGTCAACAACAGAAAGCAAACGTCTCCTGCTTGCCAATGGCTTTCCCCTCACCATCTTAAATAGTAAAGTATTATTATTTGTCAGCCACAAATCGATGCATGTTGATCAAGAAACTTGCTAAAAATTATACTGTTCTAGAAACAGATGGAAACAAGATAACATCCCTTAGCAACTGAGGAAGGGCAAGGAATGTGAAGAAAATTTTTTAGTTGTGTAGGCAATGTTGGTGAGACCAATTTTCAAAGGGACATTGAAAAAATAAGAGAAGATATTAAAAAAGCTTTTTTTTTTTTTTTTATTTATTTAACTGTGTGACAACTCTAATAATAAACATTGATAGTTGGGCCCAGAGTCATTAAGTAGGAACTTTGTATGTACTGGATGTACTCTTTTGTATGTCCTTACTTCTTGAAAGGAAGAGTGGTGTTCATTTACTCTTTTCAACATGGGATGTCAACTCTGAGCTAGCCACACTAGATGTTTTCATCAGTGCAGAGGGATGGGCGTGATAACACAGGACAGATAAAACATTCTCTGGAGGATCCTACTTTTCTCTATCAGTTAGAAAGGGAGCCCAGAGGAATTAAATTGACTTAGATGTCTAAATTTTACCCTCTCTAACCACTCTTTCTGTCTTTCCTCTTTCCCACCAATCTACTCTCAAGAAATATTTGACCACAAACCAGCTTTTTCCTTTCCTTTTGAGGTACAAACGGAAATTGGACGGAGGTGGCACGGTAAGAGATATGGACTTATGCCAGTGTGGAGGAGGACAAGATGGACTGTGCCATCTAGTTCTGGAGTAAAAATGACCACATCTGTGTGCTAAAGATGATCTCAGGATCTGGAGTAATCATATATAAAAGCCTGATTAGGAAAAAAAACCAAACAACACAGACAGCAAACAAACCAAAAACCCCACCAAACATAATGATTGCAGTTTATACTGAACAATTAGGAGGAGGATCGACCTCTACAGTAGTTCTGCCCACTGGACATTTTTTGCAGGACAAGTATTGCAGTGACAGATTAAACACTGACTGGCCTTCTAAACACAAAATAGCCCTCATATTGTTATAGTATTCATCACAGCAAACACAAAAGTCACCTCTTCTTGGTTCACTTCCCGTAGACTTTCACTGATGAACCATATAGCATAATGTGTCTAGGGAGTGGACACCACTAGTATCCTCAAGTGACACCACAAATGTCCAGCTCTGGAAACTGGTATTCAATCCTCACACAAAGGAAAATGGAGTCTATCCAGCTTGTTCAAGCTTTGTTCTTTGTTTTAATTCAGTAAACATGCAAATAAGAAACCAAATGTCTTGTTAAAGTGCAACATAATGACTAATTGTTGACTTCTTGTATTGTCTTTTTATATAATATCTCTAGAAGCAAAAAGATTCCATTTTCACAATAAAAGCCAATACATTCTCATGTTCTGGTGTTATTCCAGTAGTTACAGGTTAGAAAATTTCTGATAGCCAAGTAGCAGAAAGTGAAGGTGTTGGGAGTGATGAGACTGTAGAAGATAATAATTAAGAAATAACTACTCTTTGCAAGTAAATTAGAAAGAAAAACAAACTTTTGCACAGAAAAAGAATGAGACCCACGGAAGATGGACTAGGAGTTTGCTAGGAATACTGCTAAGTATTTTCTTACGTGTGACTATTTTTGCCCTCCAGTGTTGTAAAATATTCAGAAGCTTGAAAGCAAACTTGCTTTCCCTGTCTCTGTACCTGAGAGGTTTGGGGTTTTTTTTGTTTGTTTGGGGGTTTTTTTTTTGGTTTGGTTTTGGTTTTGGTTTTTGCCCCCAGTGGTTGTGGTAACCTGTAAAGTAATGAATTGATTAAACTTTTTGATGGGAACATTAGGGCTTGGAAAGGAACGACGCTAATCTGTACCAAACAGTGAGGACTATCAGACTGATACAGTTTACCCAGCTCTTCTGGATGTCCCAGTGACCTGTCAAGTTCAATTAAACAACAGAAAGGATTATAGAGAAAAGTGGACTTGCCTTCCTTTTTCCTTTACTATATCCAGGTAATTACAGCTGACTTGAAGAAGTGGAATTTATGCCATCTAGTTTTTACGTCAAAGATGACTGCCGAGGAGGTGTCTTCCTCTTTCCATTAAAAAAAATGTGGTTTTCTCTTTGTTTTTTCTTCCATCTGTGAAAAACACAGTAATGACTGAATTCAGATCTAAGGTTGAGAGAAGAGTCTGAGGGAGCAGTGGGAGGAAGGTGTTTATTTCAATTTCTGTAGTGACTCTTTGGAACATATATTGCAATGTGGGGCCCAAGATAATGTTTATATTGGTTTCCTTCCTTTATCCAGAAGGATTCAAGGTGAGCTGGATAGAAGCATATGTCAAACGGTTGCTGAACTGTTGAAAGTAGACTATCAGAGAGATGAATTTGTATGGCTTTCAGTGTTATATAGCATCCACATAATGCAAAAAGTGGCATAACCTGTAAGAATGAGATAGTTGAATGAGTCTTTTTTCCTGGAGATGGATGTTATTCAGCCTCAAAAAGATCATGGTGTCTATCAGCTAGAAAGGAGTCCAGAGTAATAGCTTAACTAAGAAGACAAAATTTTACCCATCTCTATTCATACATTCTTAGATAAAAAAATTCCTACAGCTTCTGCAGTTCTGTTGTATAATTAACTGTGAAAAGGCAAATTTACTCTGAAGACTACCACGCTCTCTAACTGGAAGGTAAAAGAAGAGGTGATAAAAAAAAAATATAAAATTCTTTCTTCTGCTGAACAGACCAATTATTTTCTATCTCAGGTGATTTCTGAATGTTTAAGAGAGTTTTTTTATCTCAACGTCTCAAGCAGCAAAATAATATGTCATATTAAGAGTCTTGTAAGTCTTGTCTGTATCAATTGGACTTTCAGGCTTGTAAGTAAGTCCTACAATTCTGAAATGGTGTTTTCATGATGACTTTGACGTTAACTGGACACATTAGTAACAGAAGTGAAGGCACATGAATATATGAACTTCTCAGGGTTCTTGTTCTTTGCTTTTATAGAAGACTGCATTAAGGGCTTGACCCCAAATCTCTCTGAATAAAAAATACCAGCAGTCTGTTCAGATAATTTCCATCTGCTTTATATCATATATATTATGGACAATTATTTGGCTCCGTTTAAATATCTATGACATCCATTCTCACCTGAATAGGGTTATCAAAAACTAGGTATTTGTCCTTTTCTAGTCATTGCAGCTTTTTCTAACATGAACGGAGGCAGGAATCTTCAGAGAGCATTTCATTCCTTCCTGAAATAACTAGCCCCTATAGGGGGAATACTTTTATTTGAGATAGCTGAAACTGGAAACATGAGTGCTTAAAAACAGAAGATGTGACCTTAACTATTTAATTAGAATATTTATATCAGTTATGACTAGGCACGGTATAGATATTAAGGTTACATTACATTTTTTAGCAAATCAAGTCTTCATTATAGTGTCAAGCAGAATTAAAAAACTTAAAACATTTTCAGGTTTTCAGGAAGGAAATTTCACCGAGTTTAAATAACTTTCACCAATATTAACACCAGTTTAGGAGTATGTACACACTTACTGCATAAGATTACATTTCTGAAAATTCTTATTTGTCACATGCAAAGTCTGATAAAACAAGTATGAAAAGTGTGAGTAGCAGAAACTCCTTAACCTTTAAAAAATAAATTATGTTAAGTATAATTTACTTTCACTTGGAGTAGGGCCAGAGCAATGGAAAATTGACCTGAAGATAGTGAATCATTCCCAGGGTGTGCAAATTGCCACAGGGTTTACACTGGAGTGAGTAAAGAGAGAAATAAAACAGAGCTTCCAGTTGTGACAGCTGAGCTGATCTCACTGCAGGCTGCAGAAGGAAAAAAAAATAAATAAAAACAAATAGGTACAACTGTCAGGTTTCTGCCAGCTGAGGCACAAATTAAGTCACTTGGACATGGCTTTTATGTTGCATCACAACAAAATGTATGACATCGTTCATACATGACATTTTCTCCTTCTACCCTCAAAGACACCTGCCAGATTCCTAAAAATTCCTAAAATTTTCCTAGAACTATCTCACTGTAAAGCATTTTATTAGTTTCTTCTACATTAGACATTCAGGTAGCATTTTCTGTTAGGTTCTTGTCCATCACTTTTGTCCTCCATTTTTAATCTTTTCTGAGTCAGGCAATCACCCTTTTGTACTGTTTTTTTTTTCTGTCTAGCTTAGTGCCTTAAACTGCTCCTCCACACATTATAACTATTAACAACTTCAACATCAATCAATAGCAACGGCAAAGTCTCTCCTACTAACAGTATATATTTAATATATTATATTAACAAAATTAAATAATGCATCATATAATGACTAATAGTGAGCACTGGTGGTTCTTCTGTCGTTATCTAACAGCAAGATAAGGTTACTATTATTGGTTTTACATCATGAGATAATTTCAGATTTGAGTGAAGCAAGAGCAGCTTTTAGATGTTTTGTTTTATTTGAATTATGATTCAAGCTGTAATACAGTAAATACTTGGTATCTCTACCATGAGATGTCCTACAGTGACAATGACATTGGCATTATTGTAGGACATTGTAAAGAAGAGAAAATATCAAAATATTAGAAGTGGTCCAAAGTGTTTAGTGAGCTTTAGATTGATTAATAAAATCTGTTATCTAAACCAATTTATTGGTAGATAAATTGGTAGCCCTTCCATGTATTAAGATCCCAGATCTTCTGTGTTGCCCATATGTGTCTGTAGGAAAAGGGACATGTCCCTGTCTATCTATAATGGATTGGGAACAAGCGTGAAACATCTTTTAATTATAATGGTACAATTCCCTGATGATCAGGGAAAAGTCTGGAAATTTAAATTTAGATCAGACACACATAATCCACATCAGCTTTGATTGTGAGAGAGACAATTACATCTGCACAATCACTGTCTAGCTTGAATCGTTCTCTCATTATCAAATTAAGTTATTAATGTGATATTGTTAAGGTGAATATCTTGCAATTAGCCATAAAGAATAAAGTTTTAATCCAATCTTGCCTGCTGCAAATTATGTCAGAATGATGGCGAAGTTTTTGGTTAGTGAAAATGATTTTTTGACATCCTATGAAAATCTTATAGCTAAAGAGCTTAATAAGAGAATTGCAGTTTACATGAATATTTCATAATTTTTATGTTTGCAGAATATCAGTGTTGTTTAGTCACAAAAATGTGTTCACTAGAAATTTTTCTTTCTACTATGTTTTAGTTCAAATGCTATCAATTTTTAATATATATTAATATATTACAATAGAAGATAAGAAAGTGAAAATGTTATTTGTGATTTTATGTAGCAATAGTATTTTCCTGTCATTTTGTACATGATTGAACAAAACTGCTGTATCAGAGTGGACAATAAATACCATTCTTAAATCAACAGGAGCACATACAATAAATCCTTCATATTAATCCAGTGCATGTACAAATGTCTGCAATAAATCTGTGTTTCTTTATTTCCCCTATTAAGCTCACTTAACTTGAAACATCATTTCATCTGTACCATGGGCAGTTGGGTGCAGAGCTGTCTAGAGGATGATGACATTTCTTGCTCCAAACTTAGCCACAACACCTAAAGGTGAATCCCCTTCTGAATTTAACAGTGTGGTTCTAGCTGTTTGTCCTGATCATGTGGAATCCAGCTGAGTCGTTTCTGCTTCTTCCATTGTTACTGGAGAAAAGGAAAAGGTTCACGTCAGGATGCTTCTTCCCACCACTCTAAAACTGGTCTATTAAATTTGAAGGTGAAATTTATCTCAGTGAATATTTTCCA